AAAATAATTATGACTTAGGTATAAAAATTATATCGGTATGTTTCAGTTTTTACAGTTCGGAAGGTTTATTACTATTACTATGTTGCGTTAGATCTGTTATTCCATATAACCATTTAAAAACCTTGTGTGTGTGTGTGTATTTTTTGTGGTTCTCTTTGGAAATAAAAAGAAATACAAAAAACTGGTCAGTATAAATGTGAATGTGGTAATTATGTTTATAATTTTTTTTCGTATGAGAATGGAAACGTGAAGATTAACACATTGATACAATGACCACCATGGGTTTGTGATACATAAATATAATTAGTTTTGTTCATAGAGGGAGAAAGACAGAAGAAGGAGGGAATTTTGACATACTCTGTGGTATTGTAAAACTTTAAGGTAACCTCATTTCTCTAAAGTTAAAGACATTTTCATCTTGTCGTCTATATATATATATTACTTTAATTAATTATTTAATTAATACATGCTCGTTCAATCACGGGTACATACATTATACTCTGGGAATTTATAACGGGCTTTAAAGGTTTGTTTGTTTGTAATTAAGCACAAAGCTCCATAAAGGGTTAACTGTTCTCTGCCCACCACGGGTATCGAAACCCGGTTTCTAGCGTTGTATGTCCGCAGACAAACCGCTGTGCCACTGGAGGGTTTAAAGGTTTGTATGTGTAAAAAATTTATATTATTATTATTACAGTCTTGGCCAAAATGTTTGCGTATTTTGTAAGAAATAAGATCATTATTACTAAGATGGAATACAAATACACTTAGCGCTATCAAACTAAGAAATGTGTGTTATATTAAACATGTACATATGTAATTTATATAATGAGACAGGTTCTATGGACATCAGGAACTATTTATTAAAACAACAAACAATTTTATCAGACACCTGTAGATAGATGTGTAATTCAGCATTTCGACTATCATACACAAACTTTACCAAAACATATTATAATAACAAAATATAACATCAAATTATTATAAACTAGCTGGAGTACCCGTCCCCTGGACGAAAGTTAAGTAAATTCATGATTAATGAATAGTTATCTTAGGACATGAAAAGTTGCTTCCTTTATATGTCATTGTAAAAAAACAAAAACGCAAAACGTCCATAAAAACTGCAAAATTGGAAATTTGTTTGTACCTCTGCATGGACCTATTGAACCTCAATACCAATTTTGGTGAAGATTCATACACCCCCTGCGAAGTAGTTATGTGGACAGCCAACAGACACTACTAAAATATTTATATAGGTAACGTCTGTAACCTTATATCCCTTCATATTAAACATTGAAAACATGTTAATGCCTGGCAGTCATTCATGATTTTTTGTAGTTATAACTAGCCCAGCAGGGTTGAAAACAAATAAAGATGTTTTTTTATCATTCCTGCTGTTTCCTGAAGAAAATATTTCAAATTAAATCTAATATGTTTTTCATAGTATTTGTCTATTAGTTGGGGGAAAAGAATATTATTTTTGTAAATCCTATGACTTCAGAAGTGGCTGTAACTTTGAAAAATATTATTGGATATTTTGTAAATAAAGTTTCAGAGGCCTAGTTGTGATGTCTGAATTAGTTCATAGAGACAGTTATGTTGACTGTAGTACTCCACGTAGCCGGTTATGATGCCTAAGTAGTCCATTTTGGCGGCTGTAGTACTTGGAATAATCCATGTAAGTGATTGTGGTATCTGAAGTAGATCATGTTGAAGGCTGTACTACTTGGAATAATCCATGTGATGTGAGTGTGGTATCTAAAGTAGATTATGCTGAAGGCTGTACTACTTGGAATAATCCATGTGATGTGAGTGTGGTATCTAAAGTAGATCATGTTGAAGGCTGTACTACTTGGAATAATCCATGTAAGTGATTGTGGTATCTAAAGTAGATCATGTTGAAGGCTGTAGTACTTGGAATAATCCATGTAAGTGATTGTGGTATCTAAAGTAGATCATGTTGAAGGCTGTACTACTTGGAATAATCCATGTGATGTGAGTGTGGTATCTAAAGTAGACGAGTTTAATGCCAGGAATAGTATATTCAAATAATTGTGCTGTCTGACTTTATCCAGGTAGGTCGGTGCGGTATCTCCATTAGGGAGTAGTCCACATAGATGGTATTAATATGTGTAATAGTTTTTTTAGTCAGTTGTTGTACCTGATACAATCCATGCAATTTAGATATAGTATCAAAAATACTCCAGGTAGACAGGTTTAGTACTTGGTGTTGGTCATACAGTCAGTTATGGTGACTAGGTTATTCTGTAAAGACGGGTGTAGTACCTGATACATAAAAGGTGGACTATCTAGACGGTTTCATACATAGACGGTTTTGTAACACGAATATTAGTATATCATCTGGAGTAGTCCATGTAGACGTTTGTGATGCTTCGAATGATCCATATCGATGGTTTGGTTGACTAGAGTTATCCATGTAGATGACTATAGTATCAAACCTAAACTTTAACTGTGTATCGTAAATATGATTAATTCAATTTAAATATATTTTCCAGCTGTAGGTTTGCATATTGATAAACGAAACAATGTGTACGAAATTTTATAGTTTCTTAGATTAATATAAACATTAACGGTTTTCAGAATCAGTAGAGATTACGCTACGCATTTCAAACTGTGAAGCCATTGATACTGTTATTTTATTATAAGCTGTTTGGTTGCAAAATCGTAGTCATAAAACGTGAAGCTATATACACACACACACACACACATATATGTATAGTGTAATTTGTTTTAAGATATTCGCGAAAAGCTTCATAGGGGATATCTGTGATAGCCGTCCATAATTTTCATCTGATAGACTAGAGGAAAGAGAATTAGTTAGTCAACAGCACCCAAGTGGGTACATAATAGGAGTGTGTATCTCATCATAGTAGTCGATACGATACGTATCTAGATACAAAAGTTTTTCCAACGGTTTTTTACAAAGTTTGGCAGTCTTGTCTGTA